ATCTTAAGAGTAAAATGTGACTTAAATCGAAACAGGAAGAGCCATCTTCGGTTCAACAAGGAAATTGATCGACATCTTGGCGAAATAAAAAAAAGATGGAGGAAGAAATGGTTGTTTGCAGCGATGGCTCACGTGGCTTGTCAGAACTTCTGTGAAAGAAGCCTATGGAAGAGACTGAGTAATCAGGCCTGGTTTGACATGGCAGACATGGAGTTTGATGAAAAACAGTGGTATGAAAATTTTCGAGTTACAAGAGAGAGTTTTTAATTCATTTTGAACGCCTCGCGTTTCTTTTGATGACTTTGAGTGTTTGAGTGACATTTGAGTGGACTCCTAAGCCCACAACTCTAGTAAAGCTTATGTAGCTTCATCTGTCCAGGTTATTCCTGACGGTTTTTCTTAGGCGAGCGCGTGCATTATGGTAAAAATCACAACAAAAAGGCCTGGAACGGCATCGGAGAGCTTTTACACAAATGAGTTTTTTGGCACGGTGCCTCGTTTACCTGTGCCGAGACTACCTCTGGGAGGTAGTCTCGCCACCCCTAAAATTTTGGGCACAGGTGCCACATTACATTTGGGACTGATATGTTTACATGTCAAAAATTGGGAGTGCCGTGCCTTAAAATCGTCAGCATGGTGCCAAAAATTTGGTGTGCCGGGCCGATTTTTTAGCGCGTGTAAATGGAGTTTAATTCTCTCTGTCCCCCCCCTCCTCAAAAAAAAATTACGTCAGCCTGGAACTGACCTGAGGGACAAGCAGACAAAAACCTGCCACTGTCTCTATCCAAAGGGTCTACTTGAGGATTCTATGTTCTATATGCTTTATTGTGTGTTCTATATGCTTCTGACAGAAGCCCCTGAAAGAAATGTTTTATACTAATACTTTTCCTCATTTCTAAATATTAACTAATCCGTAAGGTTATAATCAAAACCAAGCTTCATCACAGTGGCCATTCATTCTGAAGCAGATGTATTCATGCAGGAGAAACAGAAATGTGAATGTAAATTACCGAAATAGACGATCTTCATTTGGAAACAAAACAAACCTGCTCAATAACTCAACCACGTCTGGCTGAAATGACGCAATTTTTACAAAATCCATGGCTCTCTCTCTACGCACCAAAGCTACAGGGCCCCTGAAGTCAACAAATCCCGTGGGATACCTGCATGTACATCTTACCTGCCCCCGGGATCCAATAGGATGGCTTTTACGCCAGACACACCTCCGTAAACGCCTACGAAATGAGTCAGGCTTTTCAGAAACGACGTAACTAAGCGTACATATTAAACCGTAGACATTTAAAACGATCCAGATTTAAAGAAGTAAAAAAAAATATATAGGGACTATATACTCGTTTAAGTCCCTGGATTTAATCTGATGATACATGTAGACGACGAAAAGATTTTGACTAACCAGTATTTCCTGATGTTGGTTCGATAAGAGTGTCTCCAGGCTTCAGCCTGCCTTCACGTTCCGCATCCTCAATCATCCTGAGGCCGATTCTGTCCTTTACTGAACCTCCTGCGTTGAAATACTCGCACTTCGCCACTGAGTGTAGACCAAATTATAGTATCATATTGAATTAAAGGCAATGGTCAGTGAATAACATATAGCCAGTCCAAGAAAAACTGAAATAAAAACTAAGACAACTTACACAATTCACATTTTAAACCACAGCTTTTCCCAATGTTGTTTACGCGAACTAATGGCGTGTTTCCAATACGATGAAGGATATTTGGTATAATTTTGTTTTCAGAGACCCTAGTAAACGAGAGAAATATTAAAATTTCAACCTTCCGCAAACCTCGACTTTTTCAACGCAGTTCACTTACGAGGGCTTCGCGTGTTGGTGTGGTGACTCGGAGATATCCAACCCTATATGCCAAGTACATTTAGACGGTAAATCGGGTCGAATCCACTGACGCTTATCTCCAACAGAAGACGATCGTTTCAATTCCCGTGACATTTTACTTAACAAACCAAGTTTAATAGTCAGTAAACTTCTCGATCAAATGACAAACTACACTCAGACACAAGTCTTGCACTATATAAATATTCTGTGACGTAACCTCGTTTGATTGGTTAAGAAATATTCCGCTGGTATGAATGATGTCAAATTGTGCAATGCCATCCCTACAATTTTCAATTTGTATTCCGGTATATTGTCTAAATCGAAATACTTTTGTCTAAATAATATATCAGTTACCTGCAGTCTTAATCATCTTCTTTTAAAATATTTCTCAAGATATTTGTTCTTATAAATTTCTAGATAAAGTGTATTAGTTGTATTTGTCAGCACAGACACTGAAGATATTTTTTCACAGTTTTGGACTCATCTTGAAATTTTTTCAATAGTTTCGAATCTCGAGTTAATTTCTTATCCTGATATATTTACCTAAAGCAAGATATTTTGTCCTTATTTGTATGTCAAGATGTTTCTTATGTTATGAATAAATTTACAAAACTTTGTTTTTTTTAAGGGGTTGGCAGCAGCTGTCTAGACATTTGTTATTTATTGATTAAAATTGATTTTAAGCTCATTTCTTTATTTGTCTGTTTTATCAATTTGTAGTAGTAGCAGATAATTACCAAAACTGGAAAATATCACCGAACACCAGAACAGCAAAATGTTGGGCAACATTTCTTGTGAAATATGCAATAATCGCGTAAAAGAGTTATTTACACAGCATGCCTAACACATTTTAATGTGCCATGTGTTTGTTGGGCTGCATCAATAATTTTGTAACAAATATTATTCAAAAATTGGAACAAATGTTGTCCGTACAGGTCAGGTATGAATAGTTTTTACTATCCTTCTAGCTCTTTAGCCTCTCACCCCAATTTCACCCCCAAAGTAAAATTAAGCTAGAAAGTAAAATTAAGGGTGCTTACAATGATCTAAGATCACCCAGTCACAATATATGTCAAAGAAACCAACGAATTCTTGCCCAGAGTGGATTCATGGGTTCTTTAGATGCACCAGGATTTAAGTGATCTAGGATCAATTTTAACCTGATCTGGATCATCCTAAAGGAACACACCCTAAAACTTATGGTGACAATCACAAAATAGATCTAACATAACAAAGCTTATCAATGAACACTAATAGAAACAAAAAGCAAAACAAACAGGTCAAAGCATTAAAGAATTTATAACGAAAACAAATTCAAGTGCCCATACCATATTTTATTTTATCATTTCAAAGTCTAGTCATCAAAAAAGGAAGTTCTCAATTTTTTTTTTGATTGAACTATAACATTGTGAATTTTTTATGATTTTTGAGTTCTACGTTTATTTGGTGTACCTCTCCTACTGATAAGGAAAGCAAGGGCTCACTGTATGATATAGACTTAGGAAGCTGTTTCCGTGGCTCCTGTGCATTTACATAAGTGAAAGACATAAAGACAGTAAGTTCTTGCTAACACTATTCTGAATATGCCAGTAGAGTCAGTAGTATTCAATCAATAGATTAAATCCTTATTCATAAACACAGTAAAAATTCATCAGGTAATACAGTTGCAAAATATTACTTAAATTAAATACTATAATAATTCAATTAAGATGATTTCTGCAGACCATTCAAACAATAAATAATGGCAAAAATTAAGTTACCAAAAAAACCTCATGGCATGGTAATATTTTGAATACAGTCAAGTC